CCCCCCCCCCGCCCAGGGGGGGGGGGGCGGGGGGGGGTCCCCGACCAACGCCCACGCCCTCAGTCCCCCCCCCCCCCTCACTCCTAGACTCACGTTTCAGTTTGAAATCACGTATTATTTTTATTTGATAAATTCAGGCTGAAATTAAATAGCCCATTGTATGTTTTTTTTTGACGGCTTCAGATCGAGCTGAGCCACTGGATATTAATGCAACATGAATAAAGAAATATTTTTTGTAGCGGATGAAAAAAGAAATTTTTATATTAAATTATGAAGAAACTTCATTTACTAAAGAAATTTTTTTTTCGTGTAATTTAATGATATTGTTCTAATTAGGAACATTTTCTTGCTTGTTGTTCCTATTAGGTACAGTGATCTTAGTTCGAACATGTCCATGTTTTCTTCTCAATATCGTAACTTAATTAAAATACTTCAGAAAAATGTGAACCGCTGGATTTAAACTTGTTGAGTGCGGATGAACATTTTATGTCATTGAAGTACTCAACAATTTTAAAGTTTTTATAGTGAAAAATCTTGTTTAGTAATTTTTTCAAATTTTATCTTGTTTTTTGCTAAGTGTTCTTATTAGGAACATTTTTTGGCTAGCTGTTCTAATAAGGAACAATACATCTATTAAGAACAAATTCAATCAGCTTGATTGTACCGCTAATTACTCTACTAATTTTCAAGATATCAAAATTATTTTGATATCATTCGATTCCATGGACATTTCTCTACTCAAATACATAAAAAAATATTTTTTTCCATTTACAATCGCTGAGTAAATAAATAATCATTTTAGATGTAAAAATATCTGTTCTTATTAGGAACATTGACTGTATGTGTAACTAAGAGTATTATCAACTGCACATTTATCTATTGATCTTCACTAAAGGGACTTCCGACTCAGAAAGTCGAGTTTTGAAAATGCATATATTCTTTTAGTTCTAAGTGCGATTTTTAGAATATGCATCAATTATATAGGAATAGAAGATATTTCACCCAACTTTAGCACATTTATTGAAAACCATAGTAGAAAATCGACTGTTTTATTGATTTTTTTCTTAATTATTGATAACTAATATCGTTCTATTTTCTTAGTTAGCGCTATAAACACTCATCGCTATATCAATTAATCATACTCTAACTGTTGCCGTTTGATAAGGCTTTTTTTCGAAAAGATCCCGCTACAATAAATTTAGATTCAGAAATTAGTTTAATTTTATCTCAAAAATACTATTAACTGTGCGTACTTTTCAATAATATTGAATATGTTCCAATATTCTATACAGGAACATTATCAACTACTTCGCAATGTTGTTATTCGTTGTTCTCAGCTTTACTTGTTTATCATTTGCTGACAATTACAGAATATTTTCCAAATTCACTGTTCGACGTACGCTGTTAATATCTGTTTTTGATTCAAAGAATGAGGTTTTTGTTCTAGAAATTATAAGAACAGATTTCTAAACTATATTTCCGCTGTTCACATATTTAATAACTGTTTTGAAGAGATCAAAACAATTTTTCGATTTTCGGGTTAAAATAATTGTTACAACTGAACAAAGACGAATTTCAAAAAACTGTTCCTACAATTTCTAGATAAAACAGTTTTCTTGATTTTGAAACAAATTTCGCCGTTTTCTATGCTACAGTGCCTTGAGAAAATGGTCCGTGTGAAGTCTCGTTTTCATGAGTTAATTGAGAATAATTTCTCAATTATCGAAAATAGTTGGCTCAAATTTTTGTCAGATATTCGTTTGATTGACTTTTCTATTTCCTGAAACCTTCATCGAAAAATTAAGGATCATTTAGAAGATAGTTTTTGCATGAAGATTCCTCCTTAACTCTGTCACCGTTATGATCTACTAAGGTTCCTTAATGTATCTGTTGTATGTAACTGTGCTTTCCAATAGGATTTCTTGTGTGAAGAACCCAAATAAAGTGGATGTCGTTATTCTTCTGTCAAGATATATGGCTTCTGTCTGTATCAAAGATCACTTCAACTGGGGACCGATCTAGAAGATACAGACTTCAGAAAACTTCAATTTAATATCTTTGGCAGAGTCAGATATCATAGTGACAACATCTCATATATAGATTCACACATATAATGTTTATCTCGCATTTAAAGAAAAAGAAACCATATAGAGCGAAAACATAAGAATGAGAGATTAAAACAAAAGAGCATCTATTTGATTCTTCAACGACTTTTTTTAATTTATTTCAAAAGAAACGAATCAAACAGTGAATTATCAGTTTAGATCATGTCATCAACAACTGTAGAAAATTCAAGCGTTATGAAAGACAATAAACATTATAATCTTAATAGTAAATCACAGTTGGCTGCTATACAACAATCATTTGTTTATATTGAAAAAGCGGTAGAACAACACAATGTTAGTTTGAATCCTATAGATATATTCTTTATTGTCGATTATGGTTGTTCACAAGGAGCAAATTCAGTGGTTGCTATTCAAACAATTATCCAAGCTATACAACGGAAATATGGAACAATAACATCAGATAAAATCTGTACTGTTTTGAATGATTTACCGTCAAACGACTGGTTAACATTATTTCAAACCTTTGCAAGATTGTCTTTTAGTTGTTTGGCATCAGGAAAATCATTTTATGAACAGATTCTACCATCAAATACAGTTCAATTTGGCTATACATCAACAGCAATACATTGGCTTTCAAAGAAACCTTGTAATCTTAGTCGACATTGTTTTGCTTTTGCTGGACAATCAACAGATGAAGAAAAAACAATGTGGGGAAAACAAGCAGCTGAAGACTATAAATTATTTTTACAACATCGATCAAATGAATTGAAGAAAGGTCAGCTGAAAAATGAAACATGGAAATTTTGATTGAGATTGTTTTTTTGAAAACAGATAAATTGATATGCAAATATTGTTGTCGGATCTTGAACCATTTGAGAAATTCAAATAATCTCTCTAATTCTATTTCAGGTGCCATTCTTGTGTCTGTCAATCTCAGTCGTGACAGTTCAAATGATACTGCTAACCGACCACTCTATCATAATCTTTATCGGTCAGCAATGAGTGTTCTCGACGAAGATGAATTGTTAAATTTTAATATACTACATTATTATCATAGTTTAGAAGAACTAACTGATCCTATTCTTCTCAAAGAAGTTAATTTCGAAATGATTTGTGCTGATTTACGCTCATTACCGCAACCTCTCTATGAAGATTATTGTTCGAAGATCATTGATTTTAAATTATTTGTCGAAAAATTTACAGAATTTGTGCGCAGTTGGTCAGAATTGAGTTTAATCAGTTGCTTAAGAAAAGATCGAACAGAAAAAGAACGATTGAAAATTATTGAAGATTTTTGGAATGAATATCGAAATGGTATGCAAGTTCAAGGAGCAGAACATTTTCAAAACAATCCGAATCAATCATATGTTATACTAAGAAAATTGTAGTTTATACTCAATAGAAGATATAGGTAGACATTTACAATTATAATCATTTATATTAAAGTCGAAATAAAATTAGAATTTAGTGTTGAACTAATATTTATTTGTTATTTTTGTTTCACATCAAGTTTAAACACATACTATAGTATTTACGATCCATAGTTGCCTATTTTTGTGTATTCAAAAAGTGAGTACTTTAGAATTGATCAGTATGTTCGACCATTTACATGATACCCTTTGAAAGAAAAGTCCGCTTACCATGAAATTTTCTACGTAGTTTTGTCTCATCACTATCTCGGTCAAGTTCAAAGATAAGAATGATTTGTCGAACCATTGCTGAGTTATCACAAAGAGTCATTTTTCCCTATGATTTTCTATGCGAACATTGACCTATGCCGATTTTCGTAAAAAACTTTGCCCCTCACAATCAAAACAAAACCCCAGCTATTATATACTATTCGATAGAGAATTTCACGAGTTACAAAATAGTATATACAACATCAAAAAATAAGAACGCTAACTCTCCTATTGCAATGGTAATTAAACGGAATTGGTTCTGTTTTTGTCTACGCTCTAATTGATCCACAATTACAGCTTTATCTTCCGATTACAGAGATTTGATTAGTAACCAATAGAAATCATGTATTTATAGAAAAGCTTTGCCAGGATAATTTTTATTTTCACACATTCTAGGATGACTCATCTATCTCATGCACTCAGTGGCGGGCCGCCACGAGGCAATTGGTGGCAATTGCCCCACCCAAAAAAATTTTAAATCCAATATTTACTCGTTTATTTGTTGACTTCTGTAAGTGAATCAAAATATACACAATTAGTAAAAGTATCTGTACATCAGCGAC